ATCGAGATTTGCATAGTGGTAATATTTTACAAGACAATTTATATAGCGCTTATATTGCAGACTTGGGTCTTTCAATAATGACTAACAGTGTATTAAGTGTGGAAAGGCGTGGAGTTTATAGATTTTTACCATATATAGCACCAGAAATTTTGGATGAAGAAAAATATACAACAGCATCAGATATTTATTCTTTTGGAATAATTATGTGGGAAATTATATATAGACAATCTGTAAATTATAATTAAGAATTTGGGACTCAATTTCAAATTAAAATATGCTGAAAAAATTTACAGCCAAAAATTATAGAGAACACACCACAATGCTATCTGATATTAATGAAAAAATGCTAGAAAAAAGAATCAAAAAACTATCTATCAGTTATAGAAATCTGTGAAACCCTTACAGAATGGCAAAATGACAAAAATATTTTATTTGAATTAGTTGAATTAGAGGAAGTATTAAAAAATAAAAATATAAATATACAGATATATTCTGATATCACTTATAAAAGCAAATTTATTGAATTTACTACATTATTTTATCAAGGTAATTTATCATATTTATGATTTATAATAAATCAAAATTTAATTCTTTATTAATTATGATTATTTAATAGATAGTGAATTGAATAATTTGAATATTAAAGATTTACAGATAATGAATTGAATAAGTTAAGTTAAAATTATGAGTGTTTGAATAAATAATTATTTTTTTAATTCTCAGATTTATTGTTGCCTATCTCCAAAAGATCTAGAGCTTGGGTTAAAAATTTTCTCATTATTGTCAATGATCTTAATAATTCGGTAACTAGACTAATTGGTATGACCCCTGCTAAAGCTATAAAAATGAAGCAAGTTATTGCTATATCTTCCAAATTACGAAATGGGCCTATAGCCTTTAATGAGTCTAAGCTATCATATAATACATCAGTAAGATATTTGCTTGAACCTGGTGAGTTAGAAGATGGACAAATGCGAGCGACTGATATGAATTGGTCTCCACAAGTTTATTATATTCGTACAAAAAAATCAGCCGATATTATACTGGTTAGAAGATGATGAATGCAATGGACCAAAGCGGTCTTTTGTTAGAGAAGAGCTTCAAATCATAATGGATGTGCAATTACCTCCTCAATGGGTACTTACAAGTTAAAAATTTTTATAATATAAGAGATGTTCGTGGAATAGTCCAAGTTGGTATTTGTTATTATCAGCTTATGAATTAATTTTCTGATAGAAATTTATCTATATTATCAATTTCATTATTATCAAGGAAGTTACCAATTTCACTTCGAATTTTAGTTAAATCTGGTTTTGCTAACTTGTAATATAAACAATTAAGATCTTCAATAGCTTTTAATAGTCTAGGTTCGAATCTATACCATTGTTTGTATTGCTTCTTCATTTCCATATATTTTTCTTTATTTGGGAATCTATTTTTTGCGTATTCTACTATATATTCATCTGGCTCTTCGGCATTAAACAAATTCCTATATTGCTTTTTATAAGCTTTCATTAATTTTCCATCTCTAGGTTTTCCGCAATAATCTGCTACTATAACTATCTCTTTGATAGCTTTAGCAATATCTTGCCATTTTGGCATTAATTGATTTTCTGTTGAGGGTTTGGCCTCATTGGTTAACTGATCGATGTTTTTATTAGTAGATGACATTTGAATATATAATATGTTTTGATTAACTAAAGTTTTGTATATAATACATTAGAAAATCTTTTCTTTAAATAAATATTTTAGTATATAAAAAATGATTGGTGAATATACTTGCCCATTTTATCATAATACTGGTAAAATTTGTGGAAGAAACAGCATGCGTCCCGAAGGGTGTAGTTATCATTGGAAAGCTAAAAGAAGAGTACCTTGCACTGATTGTAGAAAGCCAACTGGTTCAACTTCTGGTCGTTGCTCATTACATATTAGAGGGTACTATGTGGTCCAGTATTATGATAAATTATGAGCTAAGGCTTTAAAAATTGATTCTGGATAAGTGAAAAAGTTGGCCCATATTTTGTTAACTTTTAATATATAATATGAAATTTTGTGACCCTTATTGAAATTTTGTTACCCTTTGGTATATATGGTTATATTTTTTGTTACCCTTTGTTATATATATATATATTTTTTGTTACCCTTTTGGTATATATGGGTCACATTTTTTGTGCCAGAAAGTAGTGAAGAATTATCTTTAGAATTAATTCTACTATAACAAATAATATTTGTATCCTTTTTAATATAAATTTAGGTAAAAGAATATGTTCTAGATATACAACAATATTGGTATACTGATTGAGATTTTTGATGTCTAAATGATA